ACATTAAATATTTATTGAATACTGAAACAAGGTTCTTCACCTCTTCTTGGTGACATCGTCCTCCAGGTTCTGGACTTCCTGCTGCAGGACGCTGAGTCGCTCCTGAAGAGCTCCGTTCTCCAGTCGAACCTCCTCCAGCTGAGTCCTGCAGCCCACAAACCAACAGGAGTCAGAGACGTACCGCAGCTCAAACCACCAGCGTCAGTCAGCCTGCAGAAGTTACTGTGCTGATTGGAATAGATTACTGATGATTACTAATAATGATTCAGGAATCTGAAGACCTCAGTCTGCTTCAAACTCAGTGCTTGTTGGATTTTATAATGACGTCTGAAACTAGTTTATTAATTCCAGGTATTTGTTGTACGTGCAGCCGAAGACACACAGACAGCGAGCAACAGATTTCACCATTTTATATTATATTAATATTAATATATATTAATAGTCACAATATTAACAACTCTTAATGAAGCCGTTTGGTTCTTCAGAGCGATGGACTCTTACGGACTAAAGGAATATAAATAAAGGAGGAAAGCTCAAGTGGACGGCCCGTTGTGCTTTCAGAGGTTTTATTTGTCCAATAAAACGTACAGCCACACCAGGCTACTAAAGGAGACCTGCTTCTATTTGGGACTCTACTTGTATTAGAAGTTTTATGGAATATAAAGATAGACGACATGAGCAGCTCTCCAAAAGGTAAAGCATCTATATCGCCCCCTGGTGGCTGCTGTCTAAAAAAAAATCTAAAATCTAAACTCAAATAAATGTTTACCAGAGATAGTTTCTGTCATTGTTCTTATCACGCTGATGTTTGTTCAAGTGTTGCAGTACGGCAGTATCCGGATATTCTGGCTTCATTATTGATAGTGGGAAGAAGTGGAGACGTTTATCTTTTATATGTCCATGGTTGATTCCAGCTGGTGACCTTTGTGCTACCCCTCTGTTTCATAAGCATATTCTTTGGTTGTGAGTTGACACTGACACTGATTTCAAGTTAATCTTGAGACATATTTTTGTAAGACAACCAGTTAAATTGTTGATTTTCTGTGTTTTTCTGCAGATTTTTTGCAGTGTAAAAACCACAGGTGCTGGAAATCAAATCTAATAAAAAGTCAGGCATAATAAAACTGTTTTTTTTAAAGATTTATATGTGTACACTGGTATTTATGGCAGAAAAGAGGTTTTTCTTTTTTCTTTTTTGTATTCACTAAAATGATAAAACTTGTGTAAAAGGGTTGTTAAATAAGCTATAAATGATTGAAATTAGTGCAAAAAACATGAATATCACACATTTAGCATGACGTCAGACTTTCTCACCACAAATTGTTAGATTTTGTTATTAAGTTTTAAGATTTAAAAGTCAGATTTCTATAATAAAGTACGTTAAAAGGTCCCTGCTAACAGAAACTTAAATAACATGCTACATTAAACAGTGAAAGACAATGTTAGCAAGCACTGAATGCTAACAGAAAGAAAACTAAAGTCATGGATGGTAACAACGAAGGGACAAAATGGATCTGACACTACAAACAAACGACGGACGGAGCCGACCAATACCTTTCTTCCTTGCTGCAGTTAGCGTTTGTGATATCCAAGCTTTTACTGAAAACAGATTTGCTAAAAAGGGGGCAGACAGAAAATCAAGAGACAGACAGAAAAGGCAGTCACATAAGGGGAATCCTAAAGTACAGCATGCAGAAAAACAAACCCTTGAACAAATCCAGCACCGCAAAACGAAAAGAATCTTAAACTCTCAACATGCACAGAAACCAGAGGACAGAAACCAGGAGGAGGAACACATTCGTGGGTCATGCTCGAGTCAGCGGGACGTTCAGCACCCTCGCGGTGGAGAAACGACCTCATGGAACTTGTTTACGCGGTCTCATGTTCGACTTTATTATCTCCGATGAGTCACTCATCAGCGAAGAGACGCCTTCAAAAACGTAACGACACAGCAGATCAGCCGACCAGACTGTGACAGGAAGGATTCTGGGTCATCCTGCTGTGTTTGTGAAGGGTCAGAGTACTGTGCAGCCAACAGGTTTTAGTTCAAAAAGGGAAAAACTAAATCTGGAAACGAGCTGTTTCCCGACTACAATTTATAAACAGAGGACCAAAAAACGGAAAACGACCCGTTTTACGTGAGAAAATAAAAATGAAAAAATTACCCGTTTTCTGTATTTTATTTTGAAAATGAAAATTGAAAATAAAAAAATTACCTGTTTTCTGTATTTTATTTTGAAAATAAAAACGAAAAATAAAGGTTTTTTGTTCTGATGAAATGAGAAAACCATAATCAGAAAGCTGTTTTCGTATTTCGAATGAACATAGCGCTACCTCCAACACTGTATCCAGGTCTCTTCACACAACCATGAAGATCCTGCACAGTAAACCTTTAACTTTATGTCTCTTTAGTTTAAAAACAGAATAAAGGGCAGCAGGACCTCGAGGACGATCCAGATCAACTGGACGGGACCAGCCCATCAACAGTGGGTGCTGTCGCCCCAAGAGGAGAGGTAGAGACCCGAATAAGAGCCATGCTGCTTGGAGCTTTTACATTCAACCACACACAAATGCAAAAGATGCAGAATCATTTCCTTATATTTGTATAGAAATAACTGTATATATTGTTTATGTGATTGTATTTTATTTATCTTTTATGTTATTCTATCAATTTAATTATGTTTTTCTGTGTGTAGCATGAAAGAACTACAGACTTTAATTTCATTATGCAGCCTTGTGTCATATAATGTTGATTACATTTCCTTCATTAGCGTTAATTAATGTTAACTTTTAGTCAGCAGCTTTAATCTGAACTCTCCCTCTTCCCCCTTCTCTGTACTGAAACTGGTGGAAACTGGAAAAAAATCTGCTGCCAAGGTCTCAGGTCCACATAAAAGTTAACATTAGAGTCCACATTTAAGTCCTCATTAAAGTCCACATTAAAGTCCACATTAGAGTCAGACTTTCATGTGGATCTGAGCTCCACTCGTTCTGCCTGTGACTGACCCTAAGATGAAACTGATGTGAAATGACTGCGTCTCAGTTTGAAGGCTTTAAATGATGAAGATTATGAAGGATGTCAGAGCAGATTTATTGCTCTGCTTTGGGACAGCTGACCTTTAAATGACAGTTAACTGAATAAATTCATATATAAATGACTGCTGTGTAAGTTCCACTTCATTAGCAGAAGAGGTCTTAATTTGGTTAAAAATGTGAACGAAATACAGTTTAAAACTGAACTTCTGTCATAATTGTACGGAATGAGGTTGAAAGCAGCTCCTGCAGTAGGTTTAAAGGTAAAAAACTAATTTTAAATTTTTATTATTATTATTATTATTTTAAAACACATTTCTGTCAGTTTTTTATATTTTTTCACTGCTGACTGCAGTAACCACGACCTAATAAACGCAGATTCAATGCAAATTGTGTTAAATCCTTAAACTTTATTCCAGCTGCTTTTAATGTGACGTCAATCTTTTATATGTTCATGTTTCCTTCTTTTAATCTTTCATTTTTAATCTTTTATTTAGTGTTTACTGTATTTCCTCTTTATGATATGTTTCACGTTGTTTCGCTGCCATACTTGTCTGTCGGTACCATGCTGTTTACTCAGTAGAAGAGAGGATAAAAAATAAAAGTCTCTCTGTCCTTCAGTACATATTCAGATATTTACATTTAATGAAAATGTAATAATATTTATTGATCCAGCTCAGAAACACCTCAAAGACCGACTGCCTGAAGTTACTCAACAAACACAAGAGCCCTTAAACAGGGTTTATATGCTCATTAACTTCCAGTCATCAGTCAGTTCTCTGACTTGTTGGTCTCGACCGAGTGCAGCAATATAGGTTTTATTTAAATTAACTTCCTCCTTGAAAACAAAACCATGAATGAAGTGAGCTTGTTCAGAAGTTTAACTCCACCCTTCAGTTCTGCTGGCTTCCTCCCTCTCAGCAAATTTAATAAAAGCTTTAGAGACCTGCAAAGGACAGTGACTTTAAGGGCCGTGACGAGCTGCTGTCAGACTCTCAGTGTCCGTGTTGGAAACACAGTCGGCTGGAGGTTTTACAGTCACTAGAAGCACATTCACGCTGTTTGTAAAAGCTTCTGTCTGCTACCTGTTCGTAGCTAAGCTAACATTGTAGCTGAAGTGGCTGTGTTGTAGCTAACTGTTTTATATAAATGTCTGACGTAAAGTCGTCCTAAATGGTCGACTCTATGTCAGCAGTAGAGGATGTGTTGAGACATTTAAAGTGCAGATTTCCATATATTGCTAATAATGTCCATTTTAAGAGCAGCATTGAGGTGTGTCACCACAGTATTGTCATAGGAGGACCTCTTTAAAGCACCACAGTAAATTAGTAACTGGACTAAAACATGAAGGAAATTCTTATTAGATTACACCCAAAGCTACAGCGTGCAGTTTCCTTTGTTCGTGCCACAACTTGAAGGAAAATCCAGGTTTGGCATGCAAGATGCACAAAATGTACAAACTAATAATTATTATTCATACCTAGAATAAAACTTATATTCTGTATTTTTGATGCTGCTTTCACACATTTTAAATAACATTCTAACTGTCCAGGTTACAACCTCCTACGTCCAACGATACAAACATAAAGAGTCACTTTATGCACCAACTTGCCAAAATACATGTTTGGTTCACAGCCTCTCCGACTGCATGCTCCATGCACACTTTACACACACCAACCTGACAGTCCCGTTCATGCATTTTAATGTAACCAGAGCTGAGCGCGCACTGTTGGGTCTCCGGCAGAGTTCACGCCAGGTCTTGTGTGATATGAACTGTACGTGTTGAAGAGAGAACGATGCGTCATGTATTCAACCGCAGTTCAGTGAAGGGAGGAGGGATTTACAGCGGTGGACTGACATTGGGCAGAGGTCGAGCTGAGGGCAAACAGACGGCGTGTGACATAAATTTGATGAAGTGCTGCTGAGCTGAACCTCCTCCTCTTTGAACTGGGATTAAATACATTATTTATCATAACCGATAACAACCGTCATCAATTAAACTTCCTGATTGACCTGTGTGTGTCAGACGTGTTTGTCCATGCTCATGAACACACGTGCAGAATCCGAGCAGCCTCTTCCTTACCTCTGTCCGTGGGTCGCCATGTCGATGGCTCGTCGCACCGGTACGGGAGATCCTCCCTCTGTGACGCTCAGCACCTCCATGGACTTCCTCTCCGGTCTGCGCTTACCGTGACGGCTCAGCATGGGCGAATCCACTCGCTTCCTGGGAGGGTCTGCTGAGCGACGTCAGGGGTCAAAGGGCACCAAAGGAAAAACACAAGCACAAAAAACTAGTCAGAAAAACAAATCGCCAAAAGTAAGAAAGTAAGAATTTAAAAAAAAATCTTGATTAAAAGATAACTACACACCAGAAACGCCTTTCTTTCTGCTGAAAACCTCTGTATCTGGGTATTTACTAGTGTTTTTGATTGATACAGGTCCAAATCTGGACATTTTAGTGCCAAGTATCTGAATTCTACATATGTTTTTATAAAAATGCACGACAGCCCTTTACTGGTTAAAACCGGCTATTGCAATACAACACAAACCATGAATGTGCTTCTAGTGACTGTAAAAGCTCCAGCGGACACGAAGAGTCTGACAGCAGCTGCTCGTGGGTGGTTAGCTCCGTTAGCACTGAGACGCTCATTTAGCTGACGTAGCTCAGCTAATGTTACAACACAGGTACCACACAGAAATCTTTACAAATCTGGACTGGCATACCAATCTCGTTGCGGGGCGGCAGGTTCTGGTCCTCCTGGCTCGGGTACCTCTCCTTGCGGTCCAGCAGCAGGAAGTAGATCATCTTTTCCTGGTTGTCACTGGAAAGAGAAGACAGTCAGCCGAGTGCCCGTTGGTTAAGAGCGGGACAGTGCGATGCTCCATCATCACAAGACATATTAAATAGAAGAATTCATCAAACTGACAATTTCTCAGCCGTCTCACATATTTCATCCCGCCCTCCCTCCCTCTCTAATCTGCTTCCTCTGTGGTTTTATCGCCTCCCCCATCCTCCTCCTCCTCACTCACTCCTCAGACAGCAGGTCTTTGGTCAGTTTTTCCTTGTCTCTGAAGCATCCCAGAGAGTGCATGCTCTCCAGGACGTCGGGGTCGATCTCTTCGGCCGCAGCCAGCATCCTGATGGCCACCTTCCTCGGGACGGGCTGCTCAGGCTCCGGCTCGTTCTTTCCGGCTCTGAAACACAACATGTTAGCGGTGAGCGGCGGGTGTAAGCTATATCGGTATTTGAAAGCACAAAGAAATAGACTAAGATGTAAATTAGCTGGCAGCCCGACTGGTCGCCCACCCAGAGTCGGGGTCTGTCCGAGGTTTCTGCCTCTTTAAAGGAAGTTTTTCCTTGCCACCGTCACCAAG